CTAGCCGCAGCTCGGGAGCTCCTTCGGCTGCTCGCCCGCGGCGGCCTGCGCCAGTCCGCCCGGCTCCGCCCCCGGCGGGCACTGCTGCTGGTCCCTCTCGCGGGAAGCGCTGAGCATGTGTCGCTGTGCCGGGTGGCAGTCGTCGGCCAAGTTCCGCACGGCATCCGCGTCGCCCCCGCACTTGGTGTCCAGGCTCGCGACCAGCTGCTTGCAAGGCGTCCTTCTGGCGGTGCTCGGCCGCGCCCTGCGCTCGGCCGCGTGCGGCAGATGGCAGAATCTACACGCGCGGCCAAGCGCGCAGCCCGCCTCCGTCCTGAGGAAGAGGCACGGCTTGCAAGTCCCGGCGGCGTGCTGAGCCTCGTTGTCCATCCGCCACTCTGCGTCCTGCTGCTCGAAGACCTCGTTCTCCTCTGCACGCCGAGGGCTGTGGTTCTCGGAGTGGGAGCTGCCCGACGCTGAACTGCCGCTGCTCTCGTGCTCGCTCCAGTCGCTGAACTCCACACCTGCTGTCGCTGAGTTCCGAGAGGGAGCAGTGGCTGCCCGATACTAGAGGAACAAACAATGACTCAAACCCAAAGTTTCGGATGTCCGCGCCGGTGTCTTTGACCAACGCTGGATCCCCCTCCATGAAGCGCGGAGCGTGCTAGGGGCGGCGCCGGAGGCGCTGCCAGGGGGCTCCAGCGCCGATCTGAGAACTCCGCGCGGACCTCCGAAAATGTATGTGTATGTGATTTTCTGTTCCCCGAGATGAGGAACGAGCACACTCCGAGTGCGATCCGTGGCTGGCACGCGTGGAGGCCCCCCCGCGGCGCTGCCGCGCGCATCCTGGGGCGCCCCCACGCGCGCGAGGCGTCCCCCCGCGGCGCTCCCGAGACTGCCGCCGCTGTTGCCGCGGCCGAGTTCGGGCTGGACGCGCACTAGCCTCAACGAGTGATCATCGACAACCAGCCTTGTCCCGTCGGCCGGGCGGGTGCCCTGCATGCTGCTGCCGCGGCCGCTGCGCATGAGACTGACCGCCTCGTGCCTCAGGTCTCGCGCCTTGGGCGGTGAGCGGCCGGGCCGCCCCCCACCACTTCGGGGCCACACGGGGAGCGTGGGCCAAGCTGCTTGAGCCAAAAAAGCTCGCGGCCGGACGAGTGCGACCCGTGATCTCGATCATATTCATAATATCACTAGTACACGGTGAACGCGCGACTGCAAATGCTTCGGGTCACGCACACACAGCCCCCCCAGGTAGTCCCAGTTGGCCTCAACAGGTCCCCAGAGTAGTCCCAATCAATTGGCCTCAACAGGCCCCCCGTATAGTCCAGGGCAGTCTCAACACCTCAACCCTGGGGCGCGGAGCGCCCCAGAGGCGCCGCCAGAGGCGCCGCTAGAGTCGGCGCCATGCTGAGACCGCCCCAGACGACTCGGGGGCTCCTGTTGAGGCCAGCTGGGACTACTCGGGGGGCCTGTTGAAGCCAGCTGGGGCCTGCCATCAGAGACTTGGTTTTCGGATCATAGCTCTGGTCTTCGGCATTCCGTCGGGGCCGATCCAGGCGCCACCAGAACGCCAGCGACGAGGCGCATCTGATGGAAACCACCCCATGCCCCGCCAACCTCCGAACCCCTCCGAAACATCCGAACCCCTCACCGAGACCCGACCACGCGCGACGACGCAGTTTCGTTCAGTGTCACGTTAGCGTTTCGTCCCCTCGGGGCTCGACGGAGCCGCATTGACTACCGATGAAGTGCGACCGTCCTGGCGCCCACTTGGGGGGCCGTGCGGCTCTCTTGGGCCGCTTGGGGGTCTCTAGGGGCTCTCTTGGGAGCTGCTTGCGCGCCTCTTGTGTGGCTGCCGTGGAGAAAACATGTCGCACTGTGCTTCATGGGCCGGGAGCCCAAATCCATCCGCCACTGTGCCTCTAGGCACGGGGTGAGCGTGTCCTCGAGTCCGTTGCCTAATCTCTGGAGCCTTAGTCCTCAGTCCTGAGGAGTCTCGAAGGGGCCCGTACTGTGATGGCATTGGATAAGGAAACCTTCGATAAAGAACCCAGGGTCTAGAAGCCGGTGGAACTCCAAGAATGGATCGGCGATGGATATCATCGCCGTCCTCATCAGATAAGGAAGCCTCCAGGGTCTGCAGCCTCCTGGGCACATTCCTTATCCAACGCCCCCACCGTAAAACAAATATTCAGGTCTCCCAGGCCTGGGGCTTGCCGCGGTTGCCTTAGGGTTCCCAGCGTGCCCCCTGGGCACTCTCGCATCTTCTCGCGTGACTTTTCGGGGCCCAAGGGGGAATCAAGACGGACCAAGAGGGCTCCAAGAGGCCTCCAACAGTTCGCTCCAGGACGCCCAAGATGGCCTCAAGGTGGCCCCAAGAGGCCTCCTAAGATGCCTCCCAAGAGGGCACCAAGAGGCAAACATCACAGCCTTGCCTTCTAGATGTTTGAAGGATTTGGGCGTTCTTCCCTTTTGCAGATTTTCGACGCTCCAAAACAAGACGCCCCAAGAGGCCCCAAGAGGCCTCCCAAGAAGGCACCAAGAGGCAAGCATCACCGACTCGCCTTAAGGTTTTTGAAGGGTTTGGGCGTTCTCGCCTTTTCGGGTTTCCGACGCTCCAAGACGGCTCAAGAGGCCCCAGAGACCATCCCCCAAAACAGCCGAAGAGGCTTCCAAGAGGGCCCCAAGATAGCTTAAGAGCGCTCCAAGACGGAGAGGTGCCCAGGACGCCCAAGAGGGCCCCAAGACGGCCCCCAAAGGCGCCCCAGAGAGGGACCACGAATCGAAAATCCGAGCCTTCCGCTCCAAGAGGCCCCCAGGAGGCCCCAAAGAGGCGCCCAGGAGGCCCCAAAGAGGCCTCCGAGAGTCCCGAAAGAGGCCCCGCAACGTCCCCCAAGAGGCCTCCAATCTGCCTTCAGGAGGCCCCCGAGAGGCCTCCCGCGAGATCCCAACCAACATTCAATAGGCTTCCTACCCACAACCCAGGCACGGTGGCGGGATGGTACGACAAACAACTTCTAGCAAAAAGCCCTGCGAAAATCAATACATATTATATTTCCGGGCCTTCCTGGGGGTCCTTTTGGAACTCGTTTGGGCCGTCTTGGGGCCCTCTTCGGCTGTCCCAGGACCGTCTCTGGCCGTCTTTGGGGCATTGGGCCGTCTTGGGGCCCTCTTGGGGGACCTCCGGGGCCCTCTTGGCTGCCTCCTGTGGCCTTTTTCGGGCT